CTTCTTTTTTTTAACATCTGTATATATGTATTTATATATCAGAGTCTCACTCAGAGGTTTTTTCGGCCACATCTTTCTTGTATTGTCCTTGTGCATATATCGATATTGTGGTTAAAGTATTGTCTATAGTTAGCTACATATGTGTGTGGTTTTATGGGTTTCTATAAATATATATTATATTCGCATTTATAGCCTAGGTAAATTAAATATATTATAGATTTTACTCAAATCTACAGTAGACAATATTCATTTAAAATGTTTCTCAAATAGAAATTATTATTGTCCGAAAAAGTCTTTAAAGATGGTTTATTAATTAATGTTTTCATTTAATTGACTTCAGTCAAGAAACTCATCAGAATTAAAAATATATAAATATAAATCAGAATCACATAAAAATTTTATTACAAAAGAAAAATATAGCAATTATTTGTGTGTTAATTTTAAGTGCCGATGATGGGGTTATTAAATTTTTTTTTTTTTTTTTTTTTTTTTGTGTAAGGGACTTTAAAGTTATCTTAGAAATTATTTAAGAAACTATTTTAGTATTTTAAAAATTTTCATTTCAGTTTAAATTAATGAATTCTTCGCATTCAAAGCAAAGTGCACGTAGAGAGTTTTAGAGCAGTACGAAATCCATTCACTTCTTGCCTTTGCACTCATTTCTAATGCTAAGCACACGGCTCGTAGCAGCATCCCCGAGCAGCCGCATCAGTTTCCTTTAGAACTGTGCTCTCAATATATAAACAGTTTGTGAATTTTTTGGCTGTTGATGTTGCTGTTGCTTTGCATCTTGTGGCCTTTGTGTGCTTGTGTTTGTTTGTTTTGGTCTTTAGCATGTTTGTTTAAATGTGTATTTCCCAATACAAATCAAAACAGTTGCCACAAACACAGCCACAGATGTAGCCACAGCAGCGGCCACAGCCACAGCCACTGGCTAGAGCTAGAGAGAAAAGCAAGGCACAGACACACACACGCACACACACACACACACACACACAGACTGACGCGTCATGGAGCTCTTGTGCTTGGGCAATCCGAGCACGAGTTGCCTTTGCTCAATTAGAAAGCATTGCAAATAAAGCAGATCTCAGCAGGTGGTGTCGGCGGTTGGGTGGTGCCACCTTGCCCATAAATGCGCCACTTTATATTGTTTACACACTCATCAAGAGCAACTGAGAATGACGATGGGGTGGGATGGAGGGAGAGGGCAGGCGATTGGACAATGCGGGCGAGGGAGGACAGACAGAGGTAGGAAAGAATACTTAGATGGATGCTCAACGCCAGCTACAATAAGGAACAGCAACAACAATAACAACAACACAGAGACACACACACACACACCACGTAATAAACGACGCATAAATTTTGCGCAGTCAAATTAGCTGGCAAAACGCTTTGTGGCTGAATTTCACATTCAGATTTAGTTGTATATGAGTGGGTGGGTGGGTGGTTAGGGTGGTTTTAAGGTGCTTCGACTGTGGTTTGCTCACTTCATTTGCATTGTGTCTGGTGTACTTTACTTTTAGACTAAGTTGCCACTAAATCTCTGTGCGCTTTATTAGCCGGAAATGTGAAAAGAAAAACACCATTTGTCATGCCAATGGAGGGAAAATGTGAAAAGTAAAAAATATATTTTTGTGTGTGGGCCACTGTGAGAATTCAGAAGAATTAATGTGGGAACATATTGATTCTTTAGTCAGGTATTTAAATTGAAAATAGAAATACACAGAGATGAATATGGCTTATGAGATCTTTGGGTAAATGAGTGGGGAATGTGCAGGGCATATGACATGATTTTTAGGGGAGATTGATTTATTTGAGTTTGATAAAATGTATGATATATGTGTATTACCATAGCAAGTTGATTAGATGACTTAATTAAATCCGAAGTTCCCACTTATCTCACTCTACTTCTTTTAACTTCTTGTGCATTAATCTAATATGATAATCTCTTACTCCTTAATCCCCTCAACTCTTTTCATATGTAACATATTCTCTGCTTGTATTGAATTTTCATTCTTCGAGCTTAAATCCTCCAACTCATGTCTTATCTCCTTTTTCTACCTTATATAATCAATCCCATCTTTCCCATATTATACTATTTATATTTATTTCATCTAAATGATATCTTAGATAGAGTATCTGTTGGTCATTTTTTTAAACTCTGCAATTGAGATTGTCAATTTCGGTTTTGATATTTTTGGACACTTGTTGAAGTTCGGGCGCAAATCAATGACATATCCATTACGATTAGCTCTTGAGAAATGCTCTAATGCTGAATGTCGCCATATTGTCTTTAGATGCCATTAACAAGACAAGGCAATGACTGCTCTCCCCCCCTCTCTCTCTCTATCTCTGCCTCTATGTGTATGTCTGTGCGTGTTTGTGTGTGTGACGGCAATGCGACTTATGTCGCCATTTGGACGCCGTAGACGACGTTGCCTTCATTTTCATCAATAAATTTAATGTCGTCTGTGTCTGTTTTTCTTTTATCCCTCCCCTTCGCTCTCTTGCTCCCAGTCTGTCTCTCGCTCATTTTCTATTTTATGGCTTATTAGCTGAATTTAATGTAAATTCGCATTACCTTGTAAAAATTTTTGCTTGGTTTTTTTTTTCATTTCTTTTTGTTGCTATTTTGAATTTAAAATTTGTTTTTTTTTTTTCTGTTTTGCTTTTGAGTTTTTGTTGCTTTTCCGTCTGTTTGTTTATCTGTCTTTCGGAACAGGGGTGTGAACTTATTGTTGTTAACCCAGTTAGGTCGGCTAGCATATTTGTATAGTATTATTATTATCGATGCATTGTTGTTGCTGTGTGTTAACTCGTTTTACTTTTTGGAAACAATTGGCAATTGGGTTTTCAGGCTGTCTTACCTTTGTTTAGTTGCCCCTGCCCAAAGTTATATTTCTTATTTATATATTTACATATCCATTAAATTTTAATAGTCCCTTGTTCCTGTTCTTGTTTTCGTTCTCTTTTTTTTCGCTCTGACATCAGCCAATTGCAAACTTCGCCTTGAGTAGCTGCCACGCCCCGCTACAGGCCACCCTCTTGACCTAATTAGACGCGGTGGCAAACGCATTTGGCAACGTTCTTCATTATCCATGTTAAATTCAATGCTTGCTCTTATCAGAATCGCATAATCCAATTAGGAAAACGCACGAATTAAATGTCTGACCTTCAAGTGCGCCAATTCCATAGAACTTCAATTTGTTTAAGTGATTCAACAGCAAGAAAGGGCCCCAAGCTGTTTTTAAAATAGTCTTCAAAGTACTTGCATTTATTTCCACTCAGAATTACTTAACTCTTCTGCCACTAAATTGTCGTAAAAGCACTTAAACTATATTATTTATACAGGGTATATTATGACGAAGGGCACTTCGATGCTTGACATACTCAAACTGATTAAATAATACAAATTTAATGCTGCTAAGGGGTCAATGCATAAACCAGGGTATTATGAATATTTATACATTAAAATGTTTGCTCTGTATATTAATTTATGTTGAATTTTATTTTATGAATTGTTACCGCTTTTCACCCTTTCAAACAAATGCTGATATGATGATAATGATAATGATATACAATCATTATAATTATTAATCAGTTGTAAACTTATTGATTTACGGGGTGTGCGATAGTTAAAGAGTGCTGTATATCTTGAATAAAACATTATCAAACAAATTACAGGGTATATGCTTGTTAAGAAGCATTTTGCTTGTGAGTTGCTTTCATATTAGTATTTTATTAGTTGTATCTGTTTGATATAAGTTTTAAGGTGTGTATGTTTTCATCTAGGATATTTGTTAGTCTGGCCAAAAATTTGCTTAGTAAAATTTTCGATATTTTATTATTATTAACTTAACTTAAATTACAAACTTCCCATAGATTGAAAAATTTGTAGATTTGGAAATTGCTTAGCATTTTCCAGGGTATAAGTTAGTCGCTCATTGTTTTCTAGTATATTTTCTTTGATATTGTAGGTGTTTTTTAATGTATGCGTTTAAGAATTTATACACACAATAAAAGCGACAAGCCTATGTAAGAACCGCGCGCTCTTTCTTCTCACTCTCGCTCGGCACTCTACACCCTACACTCTCACCCTCTCTCTTTCTCTCTTAGTCTCCCTCGGGCTCTCTCTCTGTCTGCTTGCTCAATTGTATATTCAATACAATTATTTTAACGCTTGTCCACAATTTGCGAAGCGTTGATTGAGAGTTTCTTTGATTGCTGTGCGGGTGTGCTTGAGTGTGTTGTGAGCGAAATTGTGTGCGTGTGTATGAGTACAAACACAAACACAAACACACATACAAATTATGCGTACCAACTACACACAGGTCATATAGTCAGTTAGTTATTTAGTTGGCGTTCGGATGTGCAGTTCGTTTCGTGTCATGAATTTGGGCTCTTGTCAAAATGACAAACAGATCCCCAATCCTTATAAAGAGTGCAACAGCAACGCTGAAAAATTAAAATTTTATTATAGACTATTATACGAAATCGGCGCGTGATAGCCAGATAAAGAAGAGGAAGAAGCGCGAGAAGGAAGAGGAGATAAAAATAAAATTCATAAATAAAAGCGAAATATTGAAAAATATAAACACGTGCGATGAGCTGCTTTCTGCGCCTATTCGTAAGTCTGAAATGCAGCGAAATGCAAGCAAAAGTGCATAGTCGAATTGTGTGTGACTAGCAGATACCCTAAGTTTATTTAGAAGTGTAGAAATGTTGTCGGATGTGCGTGTGAAAAAGAAGAAATATTGTGAGAAACTGTTTTTAAAACCTTCTAGAAAGGTAGTCGACTGTGTGTGACTAACAAATACCCTAAAATTAATGGGATACTGTGTTTATGCCTGACTGGCAAATACCGTAAATGACCTAAATGACGAAATGTAGTTGAACAAAAGTGAAGTTTTGTAAAGAAAAAACGACATAAATAAGCATTGACCTGTGTCTGGATCATGAGATATAAAGTCAAAAAACATTTCGGTTAAAGCTTACTCTGAATACTTATTTGCTAGATTTTAATCTGATGCCAGAAATCTGATTTCAAAGTTTCTAGTTGATGTCGAAAATGTGCCCAAGTTTGTGAAATGTCTAAGGATCTTATACGCTGAACAATGTTGTTTATGTTTTATACCCCTTGCTTATTCTACTACATCTAAAAACCAGTTTCAATATACAGGGTATATTTATTCATATAGCATTCTATAAGAAAATATCGTAATACACCTCAAGCAAAATACACGTAATTTCAGACGCTGATGACTCGTGGCTTGGTCAAACGCAAATCTTATCGCAAAATACACAAAAGCAGGCAAAAATACGGTGTTATGAATATATATATATCTCAAACTATATATGTATATTCATATATATACACACTTTGAACCTAAAAGAAACCCAAAAGGCAACAAGCGCTTTTTACACAATTTTTATCTGCAATTTGCAAGCTGACAAAAGTCAACAAATATTGGCTCAGTGTATATTGTGTTTACCATTTGACAGCTTTTGCCTTTAAGCCTATGTATGCAATGATTATTGCTTAAACATTTTTGTTAGTTGATTTTTATATATGAGAAATAAACCTTAAAAATAAATCTCTGATTCAATAACTTTGTTTAGAAAAGTAAATAAATTTCCCATTGAAATGAAAATGAAATACAAAAATTTGATTATTGACGAATACGCAAATAACGTACTAAAAATGTGAGAATATCTCAAAGAATAAACACTAAACAATTGCATATTTTTGCATACAGTGGACTCTCGAATTAGGGTACTTCTTAAAAAAAAAACTTCTCTTTGTATAAAACTTAAAATAATATTTTTGCAAAAAAAAAAAAATAATAATAATAATAA